GGTGTATCTTTCCATTTTTTTGGGTGTCCTCTTCAATGTCTTTCATTAGTGTTTTATAGTTTTCATTATAGAGATCTTTTATGTCTTTGGTTAAATTAATTCCTAGGTGTTCAATTTTATTTATGGCTATTTTAAGTGGTATTACTTTTAAAATTTCTTTTTCAGATTGTTCACTTTTGGCATATAGAAATGCTACCAATTTTCATATGTTGATTTTGTATCCTGCAATCTTATTGAATTTGTTTATCAGTCCTAATAGTTTCATGGTGTAGTCTTTAGGTTTTCCCAAACACAAGATTATATCATCTTCAAACAAGGATAATTTGACTTCTTCCTTTCCAATTTGGATGCCCTTTATTTATTTCTGTTGTCTGGTTGCTCTAGCTAGGACTTTCAGTACTAACAGTGGCAAAAGTGGGCATCCTTGTTGTGTTCCAGATCTTAGAGGAAAGGCTTTCAGTTTTTCCCCATTCTACACTTGATCTTAGCCAAAAGGCCGAGAAGCGATTCTCCATTCTATATGATACTAGCTGTGGGTCTGTCACACACAGCTTTTATTATGTTAAGGTATGTTGCTTCTATACCTGTTTTTTTTGAGGTTTTTCATCATGAGTGGAAGCTGACTTTTATCAAATGCATTTTCAGCATCAATTGAAATGATCATATGATTTTTGCCCTTCATTCTGTTGTTGTGATGTATGTGATGTGATGTAACACATCAAAAGAATGGATTGATTTGCATGTGTTGAACCATCCTTGCATCCCAGAGGTAAATCCCACTTAGTCATGATGAATGATCTTTTTGATGTATTGTTGAATTCAGTTTGCTGGTATTCTGCATCAATATTCATCAGAAATATTGTTTTTGCATCAATATTCATCAGAAATATTGGCCTGTAGTTTTCTTTTTTTGACGTGTCTTTGTCTGGTTTTGATATTAGAGTAATACTGGCTTCATAGAATGAGTTTGGAAGCATTCCCTCCTCTATTTTTTGGAATAACAGCACTATTTTATATGGTGCATGTTAATTCTATGTACCAGACCCAGGGCAAAGCACTTTACATTAATTAACTTATTTAATCTCCACCACAGTCGCATGAGGAAATATGATTCTCTCTCTTTGACAAAGGATGAATCTGAAGCTCAGAAAAGTAAACCTCCTGAGGTCATATACAGTATGATTACAAACCACAGAGGTGTGGTGTATGTGTGTGTGTATGTACGCATGCACATTGTCAGTTGCATGTGGAATTGCTGTACCATGTAAGAAGAGAGGAGTTTTGGAAGGACATTACTGTGAACAAGGATATAAAGTATGTTGAGAGACCCAAGAGGTAGACTGTAATTGCAGCTTTGTGGTTGTTGTTGTTTTGAGATAGAGTCTCACTCTGTCACCCAGGCTGGAGTGTAGTGGCATGATCCCGGCTCACTGCAACCTCCACCTCCCAGGTTCAAGTGATTCTTCTGCCTCAACCTCCCCATAGCTGGAATTACAGGCTTGTGCCACCATGCCTGGTTAATTTTTTGTATTTTTAGTAGAGACAAGGTTTTGCCATGTTGCCCAGGCTGGTCTCAAACTCCTGAGCTCAGGCAATCTGCCCGCCTCAGCCTCCCAAAGTGCTAGGATTACAAGGGTGAGCCACTGTGCCCAGCCTGTAACTGCACTTGTTTATGGACAATTTCATATTAATTCCTTCTCCTTCTTATGCAGTTTAATTTCCTTTTGGGTGACCAACTATTCCTCATATGTGCAGGTGTAGTCTTAGTGAGGCCCTGGGCACATGACTTAATTAGAATCTCTCTATGAAGCCTTTATTTTGCTTGTTTGTTTGTTTGTTT